TCAATATGGAAATTTTTGAACGCAGATCGAAATCAATCTCAATCTCAATCTCAATCTAATAATTTTTGAAGGCGCCCTTTGTCAAATAACTTGCAGCAAAGTTCAAATGATCAGCAAGTTATTTAACTAATTAACAGTTCAAAGTTCAAATTGTTCAAAAAAAGATTTGAACCAGTTAAATTGACAATTCTGCATGATATAATCAATGATATAAGTGATGATATAAAAAAATATTGATGTATTGTTCACAATTAGACAAGAATATTCTCTAAATTATTGAATGATACAATCAATGGCAAGATAATAAAACATGATTGATGATACAACTGCTGAGATAATAAAATATTAATGCATTATTCATGATAAATCATCAAATGATTAAAGTGAAAAAAGTACATGGCTGTCCATGATCATTCCATAGTGTTATCAGTAATTCTTTCCATCTTTGTAATTGTGCTTAGATGGCTTGCTATACTTTTAATGATATAAATTTCTGGATATAATAATTCATTATATTGTTTTAGTGAGATAGGAAGAGCATGAGATAGATATTGAAATTTTGCTATTAACCCATCCAAATTGCAGACTTCTTTTTTCATCTCTGAAATAATTTCATCTTTGACCCCTTCACTATCTGAATAACCTTCACTATTCTGATCAAACAATGATAAATATTGAAGCAACTTTTTACTTAAATATTTGTCCTACTTTCTGAAGAAAGCCTATCATGTAGTAATTTCAATTCTTCCACATCCAAAAGATTATGTACTTCATTAATATTTCTTGATTTTTCATATCTATTACATAGTAATTTGAACCTGTTTCGCAGGTTCTCCATATTTTCTTGAGCTTATTATAATATTCAAGAAATTCAACATTTCTGAATGTATTAGTGGTTTTGGCAATTGAATGCAAAATATTTTCTTGAATAACAGTTTCTTCAACCAATTTTCACCAGTTTTGGTCTGTATACATAAATATTCAAGCAAAAAATTAAAATAATGTTTTTGTATTATATATAAGTTACAATCTGTACCAACCTTCTTGTTCCCCTGAGAAGAGGTTGAGTTAGAACCATCAAGAGCATCTTTGGATGCAGGTGTTGTATTAACAGGAAAAGAATTTGAAAATTCTTCTGAGGATAAATCTTCAATATTATATTTCCCAGCTTTATCTAGGAGGTCAAGACTTCCAAGAATATAGGTGTGCTTCACATCAACTAATTGCATATTGATCTAGGTTTGTAGTATCTTAATAGGATTAATAAAAGAAAAACAATGATATTTAAGACCTGACATACTTTTTTCTGTTCATGGATAACATTCTCCCAATAGGTCTTTACTGGACAAGAAGTTTAATTTCCCATTCTTATAATATTTAATTTCATCCAATAAACCAATATAAATTAACATATTAATATATAGAAAGTTGCATTTAAATCAACCAAGTTTTCTGAACTTCATATAAACTTCATCCATTTACTAGAAATCTGGTTGGTCATTTATTTCCATCTAATAAATTTTATTCATTTGTTAGAAATCAGAAACATCATGACTGGTCATTCATTTCCGCTGATATTTGTTAACTGACCAATGAGTTTGTTAGAAATCAGGAACATCATGACTAGAGCTTATTTATGAACTGGTTCGAACCAACTTGAATCATAGTCAAAAAAATATTTTGATTTAAATATTCAATGATTCAATTCGAACCATCAATGATTTGAATGATTTGAACCATCAGCAATTTGAACATTAACGATTGAATGATTTGAATCAATTATATAAATTTAGATTTAAAACTTCAATGCATTTTTTTATTTAAATTCATAATAAAAATTTCAACTTGAAAATTATTATGTGAAAGATTACATACATGTAGAGTTATTATGTTTAAACGTTTTCTCTCTTTTGTTGTTGGAACAAACTTTACATTTAGCAAACTCATAATGTTCTCCCTATTATAATGGTCTCTAGCTCTCCACATTCTAGTTGATTTTGCATCTTTTTTTTTTGTGGCTGGTTAGAACTAATTAAAACAGGCAAAGATTGTGGTACTGCTATTATAGTTTCAGATGTGGTAATTGAATCTGAATCCAATTGTATAGAAGGTCTGGGAAGTGAAAGGGCAGAAATAAAAATTGTCATCATGAAATTATTATTGTTTAAATCATTCATGAAATTAAATTCATGTAACAAATGGTTGAATTTCCCAAAATTACTGATTCAAATCCAAATATTTGAATTGACCAGTAAGCTCTAATCATGACCGGCCATTCATTTCCTGCGATCTTTCAGAAATACCAAGTCCCAATTATTTATGAATTTTACCCAATGGAATTTTGAAAAAACATTACTTCTTTTTTATTTTTGTTTTGAAAAATGTATAAACAGCAATTTGAACAAAAAAACTCAAGAGCATTACTTTTGACATGAATAAGAACAAATATTCGGCTCACTTAAACGATAATGGACGTCTAGAAAGTTTCAAAAGCTTAGAAATTAAGAATGATGTAAATAGCCAATGTTTTATTTTTTTTGAAATATTTAAAATAAAAGCCTGTTTGCTTAATATTATAATTTATATTAATATATATAATTATAATAGCTTTTTACATAGAAATAGTTGAAAGCCAAACGAAAATGAAATTGCAAGAATAGGTGCCTGTAACAAAGATCAAATTACAACAACAATAATGACATTAATATAATTAACAATTATGATGACAACAGATAATGACAATAATAATAATAAATTAATATCGAAAAGGTTAATGATAGTTTGCAAAAACTAATAGATCTATATATCAGGCTGGAAAAGCCTCCAAGATCATGGAAATTTTGATGACGTCGCTAAGTATAAAAAATTAAGAGAGAGAGGGCTTCTCAAGATATTATCTATGTTTCTGCTGACCTTTCAGTAAAATATTCTGTATTAAAGATCCTAGCTCGTTGAATTCTATACTGTTGTATATAAAGAACGTTTAAATCACAATTTAAAAAATCACGAGTTTCTTTTGTAATATCTTTGTTTTTTCTTCAAAATAAATGAATATAATATATTCGTTAATATACTCATCTTTAGCATTTCTCAATTATATTATTATTTGATTTGATCATATGCGTTGATTTTGTTTGGCCCCCAAAATTCAGTACGGTATGATCATAACATTATGAATACTTTATACTAGCAAGAACCCATTGGTTTTGAGGTGGGCTCATTGGTTTGACGGGTTGTTGAATAGTAAAATAGTTTTTTAACGGAGCAAATAATTTTTTTTAGGGTTAATTATCGATCAGTTTACACATTAAAAATACTCGTGTTTAACATCGAGACACAATAAAACAGACATAAGGTTTAAAAAAACCAAATCGGCTGATATGGATACTTGCTCATTTAGATTATAATTGGATGATTGATCGTGATGTATTTCATATTTACTTTCAAAATATTCATAAACTAGATTGTTATGGTTTCCGAATTTTTCAATAGATTGACAACTTATGTAGTCTGGCTTAACTAATTAAAGAGCTATTCATATAAGCAATATCTAAATTCATCAGAATTCAAAAAGGTAATTTCAATTCATTCAAAATCAATAACTATATTAAATTAGCATTGTGAGCTAATGATGTATGAAGAAACTTTTGATTTAGTCATTGACGTAACTAAAGTATTGACTAAAGGTGGTTTCTTACCAGGGCCATTTTGACGAAAGTAAAATCCCTTGACGTAAGTAAAACCATTTGACGTAAGTAAAACCACTTTACATGAGTAAAAACGATTGATATAAGCAGCAATAATGATAATGATAAAATGGAGTTATCAAAAGTTCCAAATTATGTAAAAATATGTGTCCCGGGGATGAATAAAGAATTATTATGACGCAAGAAGAATAATTATCATGGGATTTGAATTAGAAATTTCACTTAATTAGGCTACTTATTTTTTCCATGTATTTTCTTTCAAAATAAAATTGCCTCTT